TGTTAGAAACTGAAAAGAAGGAGAAATATCTGAAGAAAGGTTTATTGCTTTCTTGAATTATACTGTATGTACAATGACCTATATATAGGTGGTTACAAAGAGAATATTCTGAGGTATAAAGTATACAAAGAGAATATTTTAAAGTATAAAATATTTACAATAATTCTAAATATAATTATGTTCACATCTTAACATCCCCCCTCAAACTCAGGGTGGTTGTGATGAAACCAACTTGAATTTGGAAAGAAGAGTACGAAAGCGTCCAGGAAAATGAGCCTTGGTAAAGAGATCTGCTGGTTGATTAGCGGAACCAATGAAAACCAAATGAACAGTTCCTTGTGCAACATGATGGCGAATATAGTGACAATCAACCTCAATGTGTTTAGTGCGTTCATGGAAGACATCATTATGAGCAATCTGCATAGCACTTTGATTATCACAATATAAATCAGTAGAAGAAGGTTGAGGAATGCCCATATCTTCAAGAAGCCACCGCAATGAAAGAAGTTCTGATGTGGTGTCCCCGAGAGCTCTATACTCAGCTTCAGTACTAGAGCGAGATGGAATAGCTTGTTTCTTACTCCGCCAAGAGATGACAGAATTACCAAGAAAAAGACAGTAACCGGTGGTAGATCTATGATCAGAAGGATCACCAGCCCAATCAGCATCAGAGTAAGCGCGAAGCACAAGGGAGGAGTTGGCAGAAAAATGGAGTCCATGAAATAATGTTCCCTTAACATAGCAAATAATGCGAAGTACTGCTGCATAATGAGTGGAGCGAGGAGCAGCCATAAACTGACTAACAATGTGAACTGCATATGCTATGTCAGGGCGTGTCATAGTAAGATAAACCAAACTACCAACCAATTGCCGATAGCGAGTAGGATCAGAAAGTGGAGAGCCATCCATAGGTGTAAGCTTGACATTAGGTTCAAGAGGTGTAGAAACACTCTTTACATCATTGAGTTCAGCTTTAGAAACAAGATCGGAGGCATACTTTACTTGAGAAAGCAGGTAGCCATCATCTGAAGAGGTCACTTCAAGCCCCAAAATGTAGCTCAGAACACCAAGATCTTTCATCTCAAATTTCTGACTGAGAGATTGTTTTAACTCCTCAACACCTGCGACATCATCTCCAGTAATAATCACGTCATCAACATAAAGAAGTAAAAGAACCATACCCCGAGCAGTCTTACGAATGAACAAAGCTGTATCATGTGAACTGGAAGTAAAACCAAACTCACTCACAGTAGCACTAAACTTTGCATACCATGCTCGAGGGAATTGCTTCAACTCGTATAATGCACGGCACAATCGACATACCTTGTTTGGAGGATGGTGAAGCCCAGAAGGTGGTTTCATATAAACTTCTTCTTCTAGGTCACCATTAAGAAAAGCATTTTTCACATCCATCTGAAACAATTTCCATCT